ACCAACGACTTAAATTCTGCCAAGTCATTGATTTTCCTGGTTGATTCATGCAACCCATTCCATGCTCTAATAGCACTAGGGAAGAAGGAGCATTTGTACAACTTTGTCCTAGCATATGGAACGAGGAATGTGCCTTTATCTTTGAGTCTATCTGAGTATTTTATTAGATTTTGTTTTTGTATTTGAAGAGCAATGATGAGATAATTATTAATGAGATACATTTTAAAACCAATACCAAAACACAACACATCTGATCTTCATTCTTCAAAATTTATTGTTTTCAGAGAAGATTTTAAACAGTGTAGGATATATTTCAATTTCACTTAAGTTTAGCACAAAGCCAATGGAATGTCAAGTTTTCTGATATCATATTTGACCTAGTTCTGTAAAAGACAAGTACATTTATATATTAATGTTTTATTTTGTCAAACGAAATATTTTATATAAAAGTCACCAACCTTTTTTGTACTATCAATATTGAGAAATCTTTCATTAACTTCCTTATGATATATTTTAACAGCAGTAGCGTCACTAGGAGGATGCAATGGGTATCTTGGTGAATAGTTACATGATCTCCTTTTTTAAATTGTTCACGAGTCTATTACAAGGGACCAATACAAATACGACCTGTACCGCCACATCTGTCGAGTACGTGTTCAAGATACCAAACAAAATATTTAATTATCAATAGTGTAACTAACTTGTTACTTTTTAAAATATTGATTCTTTTAAACAAATTATTGTTGCGAAGTTCAGCTTAATCGAATAAAAAAACTGGTGCAAACCAAATTATAATTGCGCACCACCGACACCCAGATCGTAATAATTTAGGCAGGACTGCTATTCAAGATCTAAAATTTATATTTGTTTAAATACTTACTACTTTATCTGCCAGGCATCTTTAGACCTAAAATGAAAAATTGAGCGAATGAATTTTAAGGCTAATCTGATTAAAGAATCATGAAAACAGACATGGAATACATTTTCTTTACATGTTTAAACTATTTTAATATATGTTTTAAGCGCAATATATCATTTATGTATGTGCGAAAGATCTCTTAAGCTATCAAAAGCTTTCATATGAAATTTCGTTCGCAGGTTCCTTTTACCCTCTTAGGCACTCACTACGACACTGTTTGGACAGACTCGAAGCCCTAAACTCCACGATTTTCGAAAATTCACAAGCTTTCTATTAAACCTTTGTATTTTATTGTCGGTATTTCTCATAAAGACCTTAGTCTATATATTAAGTGCACAAAGATATAATACACAAATAAAGACTTCTTGTATTTTTAAAGCATATTTTTTTTTATTTGCCTTACTTCATTTCCGCTTCCTTTTTAACTCGGTCGAAGAGCAGCATTACTAGCCAAAAAAAACATTGATCTATTCCTTATGTTTTTTTTAGGCAGTTGAGATTACTTTAGATCTATTTCTTTTTATTGTTATTATTATTATTCGAGACATCAAAGACTTGTTATCATACGATTGTGAATAAGTTATTTGTTTCATAAAAAAAAAATTAAACCACCCGCACTGCGTTACGAATGTGGATTATATAAAAAAAACAACAACCTAGGATTTGCGGAAGAATACCATTATGTCAACAGACTGCTTAGGACGGGCCTTAGAGAGAGGCAGCTTTATTATTTTTTTTTTGGACATAGAGACGACATTCGACAGTTACCTTCGTTATTATTAAACGTTTTATTCGACATTCGCTTTCAGCGTCGACTATGTTATATTGTTGGCCTTTTGCCTGTGTTATTTGAGAGTTACCTCCGTTTGACTTATCTGCATAAGATGCAGGGTGGAAGCGCCTAACAGACTTTAATGATTTCCTATCTATCTATCTGTCTGTCTGTCTATCTATATATCTATCTATCTATCTTTCTATCTATCTATCTATCTATCTATCTATCTATCTGTCTGTCTGTCTGTCGGTCTGTCTGTTAATATTATTGGGAAACATCGGAAACATAGATGGAATGGCATCCGTTGCACAGTTGCTACATACTTCTTCTAAAGCAGTAATGCTTTTTAAAAGGTAATAATAATATGTAATTCTTTTATAATAATTGCAAAATGTATATAAGAAACAAATTTACAATAAGTAATAGTTATTGGCTACTTACTTTAATGGAAAAGCCCACTGCCTGTTGGATAATATTTAATAAAGCTCTACTTAATATTTATATCTAAGTCATTTTAATAGTGTTACAGTTTCCAATCACAATTATAATTGGAACTGCATGCATGTTCAATTACATAATAGAAAAAAAAACTTTTTAAAGGAATACTCGGTAACTAATAAAGATTCAACTCTCAAATATTTAAGTCATAACACAGCAAAAATCAATAGAAAGGTTATAGTCTTTAATGAGAGAAAAGCCTTGGACTAATTAAGAACTATCTGACCAGATACCACATGGCTAGAAGACCACCTAAGAACTATTTGATTATTTAATCAAAACTATTGTGTGAGGCACGTCTCCTTAAGCCCCGCATGGTTTTACATGCAGGGTTGGAGGCCAAGCACATGATTGCTACGAAATCCTATAATAAATCGTCCCTAACTTTGAAAGTCATCGAAAGCCTATGGCCCTCATTTGAAGACAGGACGTTTTAGCAGAGCCTTTCTTATCTTCTTTCCACGTGTAATGCTTTTTTTTTTTTCTAAAACGTGCTACGTCCCAATACGTCTCCCTTTATCAGACGTTTTATATAAGACGTTTTCACGAGGCCTGAAACGCAATCAGCACAACATTGGCCCTTCAAATTCAATTTCATACAAATGTTGTTCCAGAAATGCTTTAAAACGTTCATAAACCCACTGCACACATGGTAGCTACTTATGTATCTCTAAGCACAGATACTTTTTTTTTAAAGTCGATTGCAATATATTATTTTTATAATAAATACGACATTGATTTCATAAAATAATTTACAATGATTACTAGTTATTGGTTACTTACTGCAATGTCATCATTTGGTGCCTGTTAGATGATATTGAATACATTGTACATTAAGTCATTATATTATGGATTGATGTGTGCATAATGATGCTTTGAAAAGGATGCATTTTTTTAATTACAAAATAGTGTGACGACTCTAGACGCGAAAAAGTTGGGGCTTTTTGATTGACTAATAATTGAGTCAAAGCTGATAATTAATAAACAGGGTCTACTTTTTATTAACAGAAGAGATTGAAATAACAGTATATGTACCCTGTTGTTAAATTAAAATAATAGCTTTTTATATAGCGCTACTTTCATCTGGGCAAAGTGTTTTTCATGCTGCTTATAATAGAAAAGAAAATTGAACACAGTTTAAATATCCCTAAGAAGATTCTCGTTACTTGTCAGAAGGCAGGACTGCTTTAGACCTGCATATTACCAAAAGATGTCTCAGTGGACTCTGTTAAGGGGACTTTACTAAACTTTGTTTTTCTTTAACTAAAATCGACCCTGGTAATTAGTTCATTTGTTCAACAATAAACAAGATAAGATAACCAATGAGGAAGTGCTACGAAGAGCAGGGTGTCAGGACATTCTCTGTGTTATCAGCAGCAGACGCCTTATAGAATGCCTGTAGATCGACTTCCACAGGACATTCTGTATGGCAATCTATCAGATAGCACGAGAGCCGCTGGTCGCCCACCTTTGGGTGATACGGATGTACGCAAACGTGACATGAAGCTCTTCAAAATCGACACTAGTAGCTGGGAAGAGGTGGCCCTGGATAGATCCACACGGAGAGAGAGCATAAAGGAAGGGTCACGGACTGCAGATGCCATACACAACAGAAGCAGAAAGAAGGGCGAAAATGCAAAGGCGCCTGGTGATTACGTATGCCCAACCTGCGACTGCAGCTGTGTATTAGGAATTGGCCTCATTAGTCACACAAGAAGTTGGCAAGGGAAAAGAGCGTCTCTCGTGACGTAAAATTCGTCCATAAATAGGGTTTTCTCGAATCTGTGTCCAAAGGCAGTTTGTTTGTTGCACATAATTAACCTTTTTTGTTTTACAATATCTTTATTTAAGTCATCATTTCAAAGTCGAAAATGTGTGATAAGTAGGTGGACACCATTCTCAAAAATGGCTCTATTTTCCTCGAAAAATGATGCAAGTGTAAATCGTTGGAAAAAGAATTAGTACTTTGTTTGCCACACTGGTAAAATCTCTAGTTTGACCGTAATGATTTTTCTAAGTATAAAAAGAGAATAATTTAAATTTGGCTAGAGATAGAAATCTTTATCTTGAACAGACTATGAGTCTTTTGTTATCTGCACATGTAGGCACTGTACATTGATGAGATTCAAACATTTTTTTTAAGTCTACATCTAAAGGCAAAATATTATAATCATTATACAACTAAGCAGATTTTTACATTCGCTTATCTAGATTTTTATCTGGCAAAGGGGGGGGGGGAGTGGAAAAAGGGGGGAATTTTTTATTTAAATTTAATATTCATTAGTTATTAAGAGTATAATAATCGCAATACGTAACGTATTAAGGAGTTGCTTTAATGTTGAATTTTCGAAAAAGATTACTTACTACGGTGTTATTGGTTGGTTCGCCAATCTGAAACACAGACAATACTATCTTTATAAATAAAATGAATATTTTAAACCTTGCTATTCACACATAATGATTGTTTGGATCTCTGGTAAGGGTACGGTATATAAAGTCTGATGACGAAGGATCGATTTTTTAAGGGGGTAAGAGGTATAGGACTGATTGAGGTATATGACTGACTGAGGTACAGGACTGATTGAGGTATAGGACTGATTGAGGTATAGGACTGATTGAGGTATAGGACTGATTGAGGTATAGGACTGATTGAGGTATAGGACTGATTGAGACAGAACGAAGAGAGAAAGAAAAAGAGTGAATGAGTGAGAGAAAGAGAGATAGAAAGGAAAAGAGAAAGAAACATAGAGAAAGACAGAAAGAGAAAGAGAGAGTGAGAGAGGTTGCTGCAGATTGCAAGAGTAAGAGAGAGAGAGAGAGAAAGAGAGAGAGAGAGAGAGAGAGAGAAGTGACATAATTAGAACAGAAGTAGAGAAAAGAGAGTAAAAGTAGAGAGAAAGAGGCAAAAAGTAACGAGAAATAAATAAGAGAAAAATAAAATATAATTAGTACTGTCTTCTGTGCACGCATTTAACGTACTCTACCCTAGACGTTATACAGTAAGTCGATTAGTCACATGCTCTTAGTGAACTTAGTATTCCTAAAAATTGTAATATTTCTTTTTATAAACATAGTTCTTTATACCAATGCCACTTACCGTCACTTGTGCTGGGATGTCAAAGGTTCCCCCTCTGACCTGCGTGGTATGGATAGGAGACACAAAAATTATTATTTGCCAATATCCTATGCTGTTATGTAACACAGATGTCATGAAATGAGATGCAAAGTCAGTGAACATTGATACTGATCATTGGGAAGACATAGCTCTAGACCCTCACTAGTTGGAGAGAGATGGTGACACTATGGACAGCGAGAAACCATGGGCTTCAGTTGTTAAAAAAAAACGTGCTATACGAAAAATGACCAGCTCCTCCACCAGTATAGCGAAAGACACTTTGACCTGCAAGACATGTAAAGTGTGTCTTTCCGGAAATAGGCTCCACAGCCATATAAAAAAAAGTTTTCGAGATGAACCGCAGTCGTTCTACCACTGAAGGAGGCCAATAAATGGAACACATGCATAGCAACTGGGATAGCGTCGTTACGTGAAACACTGAACACTTAAGTAATCTCTAGGATAGAAGATAATGCCTTTTAAATCACAAAATACAGCAATATAAGCATTTCACGCATTTTCTTCAATGTACTGTGGCCGGTTCAAGTGATGTACAGCGATTAAAGGTATACATTTAGTATAGTTAATTATAATTAAAAAACAACAACATTATTACACTAATCACGTTATTTTAAGCCCCGAGATGGGAGGTTTTGAGTTGTGTGCAGTGTTTATAAACTAAAGTAACAAGTGGTATCAGTGGTGAATTTTGCGATGGCTTCTTGTTGATCAACTTTTGTTAAGGAAACGAAGCGATAGCTCCAGGAGTTTATTGTGGAATGTAGTTGCAGTTACAAATATTGTTTTCAATTCCAAATATTAAGAAAATGAATATTATCGAAATAAATCTCTTCAAGAGTCATAAAAAAACAGTCTTATCTTATCTTATATAATACAGACGTTACTTCAAACAAGAAGATGATAACGTCCTACGCGTCATGCATTTAGTCATGCATATTAAACAATGACTTTGATTCTGCAAAGTCACTGGTTTTCCTGGCTAGCTCAGGCAACCCATTCTATGCTCTAATTGCAATAGGGAAGAAGGAGTATTTGTATTTAGCAAGAAATGTATCAATAGAAAGATTTAATATCGTCAAGTATATTCTGAATACTTACCACTCTTCCGCCGACTGCAGGCTGTTAGAAGGTTTTGAAATATAAAAATATATAATTCCATTAAATACCTCTCTCTATCTATCTATCTATCTATCTATCTATCTATCTATCTATCTATCTATCTATCTATCTATCTATCTATCTATCTATCTATCTATCTGTGAGCAGGTCAGGGTGGCGCTACCTGAGTGAGGCCTCCTTTTTTTGTTACTTGCTGCTCAACATTTGTTCATTTTACAGTAGGCAGATGGTAGCTCTACTGGGTGGGCCCAATCTGTGCACCTCGGTATGGTGACCAAGGGGCTATAGTAGCCTAAGCAACCAGACAGCACAAGCAAACTAAACTAAACTAAACTAGCTAACTAAAAAACAAACTAAGATTGAAATGAACTTATATACACTTTATTTACACGAGGAAAAAACAAATCAATAAAAATATATGTGCAAAAGAAAATATACGTAAACAACTAGATAAACAAAAAACTAAACGACTAATCAACTCTACTTAATTTATACTATTACAACTACAATCACTATCCAACAAACCAAACCCAAATAAAACCACTAGTTAACCTGATTCCCCAAAATCCACCAAGATACCTTACAAGACAATAAACCACTAAAATAACCTACAAAACAATAAACTATTGTAACTGAGAACTACAGCAGACAGCTATGCAGTAATACAGTAAGGGAGTAATACAGTAATAACTGTGGCAGACAGCAATGCAGTAGCAGCTATGCAGTAGCAGCTATGCAGTAACAATACAGCAGTTTGGCAGTAGCAGCTATGCAGTTTGGCAGTAGCAGCTGTGCAGTAGCAGCTATGCAGTTTGGCAGGAATTATAGCCTGCAATTACAAAATAAACAAACATAAAACAATATTTACAAAATAAAATAAGAATGTACTATAACGCTATATTAGACTGGACTGGTCTAGGTCTAGTCTAGTGCATACTCACAATACAAGCATGAGGTAATTTCAATTACCTACATGTAGCTAATAAAAGCAATACATGAATTACTAAAGTCTCAGCCACAACCAACACAGGTCAGGCTAGACTACAATGCACAAGCTAGATCTAAATGATACTATTAACACTAAACAAGCCGCCATGACAGCGATGCTTAGGCCGCAGCCATCTTTTACATAAAAAAATAGGACAAGATGACAACTTCAATAGAGGGGATATCCTAACGATAAAAATATTTAAGAAACATAAAATAATAAAATATTTACACATAGACATAGTATAGAAAAACAAAAGCATTAAAGCTGGGGCAATTGGGTGACACTACCCAAGTCTACAGAGCTTCCGGCTCCATCAGAGGCAATCATGGCTAATTAACTAGCCAGTGACGCCACTACACTAATCAGTCTGCATCTAGACTATAGCAATAGATGCAGAAACAATCAATACTAATACAATAAAAGAAAGCAAAAATAAAAACAATTCACAACTTACAGGCGGTCCCAGCCGAAATAGCACTACACAAAACTAACTCTACACAAACACCACTGTCCGCACTGACCACTGGTCGAGACAAAAAAGAATTCAACGTGGTCCCGGAGCCAGCTATAACTGGTCAGCGCGAACGTATCGGAGAGCATGACGTCACACTAATTATTTAAAACTAAACTGGACTACCTATTTCCCTAATTTGTACCTAGCCTTACACAACAATAAAACCTAGAAAATTACTAAAGACACGGACTACACAACATTATATACCAAATTAAACAGCATTAAAAAGAGAATCTTAAAATTTAAATCCTATAAAAATACAAAAAGAAGATAAAAAGTTATTTCTATTCTAGACTCATATGGGGGCTCTATACCGTTTACAGACCTGCACATAAACTGATATAAAAAAATAACAACTATTCCAACACTAATGCCAAAGACAAAAATAAGCAGAACTAACCTGGGACAAAAAATAGAAAATAACATCCACAGCTCCAAGGCTAGTTAACTATTTTAAAAACTACTTTTCCTCTACGGGTAAAACACAAATAACAGAAAAAGACTAAAACTAGCAGAAAGTTATAAATAGCGGAAACTACAAAATAATCAGCACTGAACTATAAAAATAAAAAAGGACACTAAATAACAAACATCATAGCCCTGGCCTATGTAAATAATATAAATTAAATTAGATCTAGGAGCGCAAGCTCACAATCTATCTATCTATCCATCCATCTATCTATCTATCTATCCATCTATCTATCTATCTATCTATCTATCTATCTATCTATCTATCTATCTATCTATCTAACTATCTATCTATCTATCTATCTATACATGCATGTATGTATGTATGTATGTATGTATGTATGTATGTATGTATGTATGTATGTATCTATCTATCTATCTATCTATCTATCTATGCATGCATGTATGTATGTATGTATGTATCTAACTATCTATCTATCTATCTATCTATCTATCAATCTAGAGGCTGGTGTGTTTGGCTGGATTCTCCAAAGAGAACCAGAGTCAGCCATGTTGTCTTTGGTTTACAGGGAGTAATGGCCTTCTAGCTTTATACACATCAGCTAGATGGGAGAATGTTCAAGGAAGATCTCTTTTTTTAGTTTGGGCACTTGTTCACAGCTGTGCTCCCCACCCGCCACTGAATCCAACAAGGGGACGAGACATTTTGATGTCCAGAATAAGCTCGCCAGGGCTACACATCAACTGCATGTGTCCGATACAGCAGCGTCCTGATTTACCCTCTACACAACGACACCCAGCACAGGGCGAAGACACATAAAAAAGGCCTTCTGGTCCTTAGGTCTACAGGAACTCAGAACCAAAGCACTGTGCTGCATTAACCTTAGGTAGGCATCCTCGAAATTACCAGGACCTCTTTATCCCCATTACCTACTGCAGACCATGGCTAACGAACCGGTCTGTAGACAAACAGATGTTTTATAAAGAAAAAGAAACAGAGTGATGACTAATGAAGTCAGACTGAGGAAAAGAGAAGGCTGACACATTGACAGACAAGCTTGGGCACTTTGGAGCTAAAAAAAAGCCATACAAAAATCATCGCAGTTTAATGTCTCTGGACGCCCAACCAATTTTGATAAGATTTTTATCAATACTACAAAAATAGTACATGACTATTGTTGTAGATGTAATGATATCCATAACACGCATAATCGATTTTTTAAAAACAATAACATTCTTTATAACGCATATTTTTTTTTGATAATTAACACAACATTTATTTAATAAACAAATTTACAATAATTAATATTTTTGTTTACTTACTTTAAAGGACCCGTCCACTGGCTGTTGATAAATATTTAATAAAGCATTACTTAGTATTTATATCATAAGTTATTTTAATATTGTTTAATTTTTCTAAACAGTTCATTCTTGGGATTGCATACAGTTTTATTTAGACAATAGAAAAAGATAAACTACTTTAAAGGAGTACACGTCCATAATAAAGATTTAACAAGCAGATATTTAAGGGATAACAAATAACAGGGAAAGCATTGGACTATTAAGAAGGATTTTACCCAGATACCCCTTTAATCAAATCTGTTTTATTGTGAGACACAACCTCTTAAGCCCCGCCTGGTTTCCCTATGCCAGTGAGGCCGGATGCTTGACTCATGAGAGGTTGCTACGAAATCCTATTAATGTACCATCCCTAACCGAGAAAGACACCGCAAGACGAACCCCTCGCTGGAGCCTGTCTTTTATCTTTCTAACGTATAAAACTTTTTGGATGGGGGTGGGGGAGTTTTGTCCTGGTTTATCTACTTGTCTTCCCTGCCAGAGGTTACACGAATCCAGAAACGCAGTCAGCACATCTATCGCTCTACTAAACCAATAACATAAAGTGTTGTCTACGAATAATTTACATAAACATAATCAATGCTTATATGCGAGTTACCGGCTCTACTTTTTTTTTTCTCTAACCAATAATACTTTTTAATAAATAATAATATTCAGCATATAATTTTTTATATACAATAGTTTACGATGGTTAATAGTACTGAGCTACATACTGTAATGTCTCCGTTGGGTACCTGTTGAAGAATATTGAATACAACTAAACTGAATATATTATAAGTCATTACAATATTGATAACTTTTAAAACAAGAAAAACAAAAAATAACAGATTTTTTTAAAGACTACTTCTATTCTAGTCAAATTACCCAGCGATTATTGTTTCCTGTTTATTGCTACTAAATGTTCAGGTTATATAAAGAACATTTGAGAACACATTTTAAGGCCCATTATTAGAATATTATAACAACCTATAGCATAATACATCGTTTAACCAGAATTTTTTTCCGGCTGTAGTGGGGTAGGGAATGGGAGTGGTAAAGTTCCCTTGTTTAAAATCGAACATTTATTAGCTATGAAGAGTAAAATAACTTGGAGAGTCACTCAAAGAA